CCACGCACCAGATGCTAAGCACTGGGCGTGAGGTGGGGTGTTAAAGAATAACAAAAGTCCCACATCGGTGGTTAATGAGATGGGTGGACTCCTTATAAGGCTTGGACAATTCTCCTCCCTTTGAGCTAGTTTTTGAGGTGCGAGTTAGGCCTAAGACCTACCTAATTTAACAGTAGCTGATGTAGCTGGTCTATAGCCGATTCAGCCCAGGAAATTCAAACAACTTCAACATGAAGATATGGCAAATGATGCATATATAGTAACTAAAAGATCATCTCTTTAACTGTTGTATGGTAGTACCGCGTCTGCAAAGTGTTTGATACAACATTCATCTGTATTGAGGAGTTTGCTGAAACTAGAGAGGAACAAGGTATTGGCAGAAGGTGGTTTGTGTAATTATCATCAAACAGTTTTTTTTTTCTCATTGATTTAACGTTTGCCGTGGATAAAACAGGTGTGGAAGCATTTTCTACCATACAAGCAGTGTAAAAAAGGTTCTAAGAGTGGTATATGTAGGACTTTTGTGCACACAAGAGGTGCTAACATTTCTCACAGTTCTTTCAGTTAACAAATAATAGCATGAATGCACATAAATCTCTAGGAAAATAAATCTGTCATCTATGAGAAAACAATGGCATGGATGCGCACATAAATCTCAAAGTTAACAAATAATGGCATGAATGCACATAGATCTCAAAGTTCATTCAGTTTTCCACATAAATCTCATGAGAAAAAAAAAACTGTCATCTATGCCATTTCAGTTAACAGCATTTCTCACCATTGCTGAGGATATAGCTTACACTGCACTACAACTATCCCTCTTATGTTGGGAGGGAGACAGGAGGATTACGTGGCACGTGTGTCAGTTCCTGAGTATAGTAACAGGGATGTGATTCCTTGTTTTCAGAATTGCTGCGAAGGAGAAATCTTGTTAGGTCTGAATGTAGGCAGATTTATATTCTTATTCCTCTGTGAGTGAAGTTCAATCATATCAAAGCAGAGATCATTCTGCTTGAGAAGTGAAGCTTAATAAACACCATGATAGACGATTGCCAGGAACATCATCTTCTTTAGAAGCTAAGCTTAATAAACACCAAGGACTCTTTGGAGCATTGCTAAGACCTAATTCAGATAACTAATGTATTGCCCTTAGTCTATCTGTGACCACCGAAGCACAGCCACTTTTTCATTCTCTTTATCATGAATCAGAGGAAGCCAGCGAAATTACTGTTATTTTTAAATGCTTCTTAAATTTATGTTTTTTTCAAGGCGGCGATTACACAGATATGTCCCATCATTCCTTCTAACAAGCGGTATGCAATAAATAACTTAGTATCCAGCAAGGGAATACCTGCTTGAAAAGTAGCTTCTCAACCTTTTTTGCTCTGTACATGGGGCTGACCATAAGGTACGTAGCAGCAAGGATAACAGGGAGCAGTAAACATCATCGTTGATGCCTGTATAACAAACTAATATACCTAATAAGCGATTAACCAAAATAACAGACACAAAGTGCTGCCTAATCAACTTCTTTTCCCCTACATCACCCCAAATATTGTTTTGTCCTTCCTAGTTCGACGAGGATATTGCACATTTTGGAAACTCAATAAAAGATAAGAATGATTCCTAAAATTGTTTACCCTGAGATTTTCTATAACACGCGAGCAAAATTATTTTGGAGGCTTCTTTTTCATTCTAAATAATGGAGTATTAGAAAGAGAGATTTCATTCTGTATTACAATAAGAATATTATTCTTCAGTACTTACTTATCATATTATCCCAATCCCAAGTAGTAGTGTCATTGTTAATGATACTAAACTGATGAATTCACTAACAAATAATAACTAGTTGTAGAGTGAATAAAGAACATCAAAATTTTGGATATCCAAGAGTATGAATAAAAATCTGGATGCACCAGGGACCCAATTCAAGATTCTCGACATAGGCAACACAAGAAGTAGTTCCTGTAAATATCTACTCTCCTTGTCCAATTTGTAATTTATATTCAAAGAACTGCAGTAATGAGTGTGTAGACATTAAAATTTTATGGACTCTATCAGTCATTCAATTCTAGTTAGGACAAGATATATCTGATTCCAGTTAAGATTTTTAGAAGCTATTCTACCTTAAACCCTAGCATACATATATAAAATTTAATATCTTCCCTTAGAAAGGCATCTTGAATATTCCACTAACTATTGGCATACTCATTAATCAAGATATGCCAGATTCTTCTTAATAATTAAATACTTACAGAAGATTCACACATCTTTTTAGCCAGTTCAAGTCTGTAAATCATCCTAGTTAAAGAAATACGTCACTAACGATACTCGAATCACGAAGAAATTCAAATTATCGTAGTTCGAGAAATTCACCAATAACAACCTTTGATTTATTATGCTCAATTTTCTCAGCTTCACAGATGCTAATATCCAGACGAAGAATGCCACCAGCTCTATCTAGTTCCAAAAGCTGATAATACTTTTTCCATGACAACCTTTATCAAAATCACGTCTCCAATCGAAAGAAAAACGAGATTAGTCGAAACGGGCGGCTCAATTCTAAAGCCACTAAAGGAATGGTTTTTGCCCAAAAAAATTAAGGTCCTTAAAATTATTCAATGTTAATATATACGAATTTAAATAATTATATATTTATTGTTAGTATTAATTGAATTTTTCTAATAGTTTGTTGTTAATTTTTACAAATCATTATTAACATATTTTCGTAATTTTATCATTTTCTTAAAATAAAATTGATGTAGTTATGATTAAAATGTGCGATTACTTTTTACTTTTTATTTTGTTTAACTCACTTCAATTTAGATTAATCATGTTTTAACATTGTCTTTGTAAGATTGCCTTCAATTCTTTGAGGCGCCTTCTTAGGCATTTCAAGCTCAAACTAGTTAAAATATCAAATAATTAAATTTAGGGAAAAGGGTCTGATATACCACCCCTCAACTTTACAATTTGGAGTTGATATGCCCCTCGCTATAAAAGTGGCTCATATATACCCTTACCATTATACAAACGGCTCACATATACCCCTACCATTATAAAATGAGCTCACATATACCATTCATTTTACGGAAATGAAAAAATTAGTTTTAAATTTATATTTTTAACTTTTGATTTTTTTTAAAAATTATTTAGGGGTATATATGATTTTTCTAGCAAATTTCAAGGTATATTTTAATTTTTTTCGGACTATTAAAATTATTTTTTGTACTTCTTGATTATCATTATTTGAGTTTCTTATTCTTATTTTATTTTTTCTTTCATTCCTTAGTGTAAAGAAAAAAATTTAAAACTATTTTTTGCGGATATATTGTAATTTAGTTTTTGTATTTGAAGAAAAAAATTGTGTCATCTATAATAAATTTTATAAGAATATTAGCAAAACTTAAATAAATTTGACCATCAAAATAATAAATCTAAATTAGTCATTGAAACAAAAAAAAGTTAAAAAAATAATATATGTTTGAGGAGGATTAAATATACCCATATGAGATTATATTTTTTTAAAAATAATAATAAAAATCAAACTAAAATTATTTTTTTCACTTCCGTTAGAGGAAAAGGGTATATGTGAGCCAGTTGTATAACAATAGGGGTATCTATGAGCCACTTTTATAATGAGGGTATATCAGCTCTAAATGACAAAGTTGAGAGGTATATTAGACCTTTTCCCCTTAAATT